GTATAGAAGTATAAACTGCAACAAATCCTTTTGTCCCCAAGTTGCTTTAGGTCATGGTGTTTTATAACAGCAATACAAAACTACAACATACAACAAAACAAACAGCACCAGCAACAGGAGGTTTGTAGCAACAAGTGTTCCACAATAGCAAGAGTTGTAGCAGCAACTAGGTATCCACAGAGACAAGTTGTACTTCTTGTTTACTCAAATAATATTATATCCTCCTTGGGTATCAGATGGAATTGAAGACAAGATAGTTATAGTTACAGTTTTCTTTGTTACCAAATTTAAAAAAAAACTCACAAAAGAGGTATTAAATATATAATACATACCACAAGAAAAATCTATCAGTACAAAGTCTCAATTCTGAACATCTATGCCCCAAATAAAAGGCACCCACATTGGTAAAAGAAACATACTCAAAGCTCACATAAAACCTCACACACGCATAGTGGGAGATTTCAACACCCCACTTTGAGTTATAAGAGCTAGTGGGAAAACCCCAACCTCAAGCAAAGCTTTTGTAATTAATAGTAAGTCCCCATGTTGTATCTGTGTACACCTGGAAGCAGGAAGTAAACAGACACCAAACAGGCTATAGAGGGGCACTCCTTAATTGCTTATTCCTCATGGTTTGCTCGGCCTGTTTTCATTTGACACCTAGGACCATCAGCAAAGGTGGTCATATACAATGGAATAGCCCCTCTCATATTAGTCATCAGTCAAGTATATGCCCCACAGATTGGCCTATGAGAACATTTTTTCTATTGGGTTTTCCTGTTCTGAAATTTCTCTGCTTGTGACAAGTTGATATAAAAGAAAAACAAACAGACAAACAAAACCAAGCCAGCATAACTGATTCCTTGTCACCTATACACTCAAACACATCACTATTCAATCAGGACCTTTCCTGTCTCATTTGTACCCATAACATTCTAACTTTTGACAGTCCTATAGTCTTTAAGAAATTCTAATATTATAAAAGTTCATTTTTTTCATCCAAGTCTCTCTAAAATATCAAAACTCTCTAAACTGTCCAAAGTTTATCTAAAACTATAAAACTATAAATTTCCTAGCATTTCACAATACCAAGACTCAACTTTTCTCTATGATGACATCAATGCCTCCAAAATTAGTACCATCTGGGAAACTCTTAAATATTTCTAACTTCCATTGCCAGTGTTGGGTGAGGCCTTGACCACTTTGGACCACACGTTCTTTAGAAAAACACATCCCAGAAGATTTAATTCCAGTTTTACTAGTCTCTTTTTCATAGAACATTTCTTAGTTCCAGCTAACCAGCATGAATTGTCCCAGTGAGCAAAGTTGTCAGGGTAACAGTGCTTGTCTTTTGTTGATCACAGGTGATTCTTTGGCACCAGCTGAACAGAACTACAGATTCATAACTCAAAGTATAACATAAATGACTGAGGTAGAGTATTGTGTTGCCTCTGAAACTTCACAAATTGAAGGTAGTCATTTTCCTGGCTCTAAGTATTTTTATCTTCTAACAACAGCATATTAAGCTCTGTACACTCAACAGCTTTTTCTAGCTCAAGGTCCTAAGGCCCTAAAGAACATGACATGTCTACCACAGCAATACTCTACTCTTGATAGAAATTTCTATCTTAATTAGAGGTTCTACTGCTGTTATAAAGCACCGTGACAAAAAGCAATGTATCAAGGAAAGGTTTATTTCTGAGATATTTCATTGTCTTCACAAATTGTTAGTTTCCCTAATAACTAATGTGTTTGAAAACTTACTATATTCATTTGTTCTTTAGATATCCTCTTTGGTAAAGGACCAAGTAGTAAGTCTTTTGCAGATTTTCTTTATTTTTTGCTGTATGATATTTTCATTAATAACTTGGAAGTGATGTTTCTTATCCTTTGAAAAAGTAGAATTTGAATTCATGTTCTTATATATGTTGTTTTCGACCCTAAGCTGTATCCTTAGTCTTATTAAAGTTGTACCTCACATTTCATACATAAATTACAAGATTTTTATTTAATGAGAATCTTTTTATTGACTTAATGTTTTATTCTTAAATTTCATACATATATACAATAAAGTTTGATGATATGGCCTCTGTTTTCTTCCTCCAGTGTCCCCCATATCCCTATGATATGAGCAATCAGTTTATTCTTCTCAACCACTTCCTGAGTTGTTTGTCCCTCTATATTAACTGCTTCCTACTACCAAAAGCTTCCCTCTTTAAGGTTGAGAGCAGGCTAAATCTACAAATAAAACCATATATATTTATGAGGTATTTTGATGTATAATGCTTTAGCAGAAGAATAACAGCAGAGTCTACCTCAGGGTCTATGGACAACCAGTCATGAACTTTTGACCATCTGTATAAGTGTTTGGATTTGTGCTATGTATGCTTTTCTTTATTTTAGTTTGAAGAATAGCAATTTTCAGTTTTAATATACTTCAAGTATATCTCCCCAAAATAAAGATCATTTAAAGAACAGTTTATCTAACCAAATGATGATTACTTATGTTAGATTTTAAAAATTGGTGTTTTCACTTTAATGTATAGACCGACAGCTCACCTAAAATTCAACTTTATGTATGTTTTGAAAAAGGGATCAGAATTAAGTTGATTGACTTAATTGACAACATTTAATTCACAACAATTTTCCTATTTCTACTGTATTGCATCACAGTTTTCAGTTTTGACCTTGATATAAACTGAATTCTCTCATCATTTGTCTCATCTTATTTTTTTCTAGTGTCAGACATGCATTTCTTTTTTCTTTTTTTTTTTGCTTTTTGTCATTTTATTATTATTAGTATTATTATTATTTATTTTACATGTCGATCCCAGTTTCCTCTCCCTCCCTTCCTTCCTTCTTCCCTCTATCCTTTTTTCTTACCCTCTCCCCCTCACATGCACCCTGACCACCTTCCCCTCCCATGCCCCCACCCCAATTCCACATGTAGGGCAATGCCATCCAGGTGGGGTCATGTAAATCTGTCAAGTCATTTGAAGTAGGGACTAGGACTTCTCTCCTGTCTCTAGGTTAAGGCAGTTATCCCTCCATGGTGGATGTGTTCTCAAGGTCCTTTTGTGTACCAGGATACATCCCTTACACTGCTCAGACCTTCTAGCTGAGACCCATATTCTGGGGGTCTGAGTCAATCCCATGCTGGAGTCCCAGTTATCAGTCTGGGGGCCCCTTAGCTCCTCCTTGTTCAGGTCAGCTGTCTCTATGTGTTTCTGCAACCTGGTCTTGTTCTCTCCCTCTGCATCTGGATTCTAGTTTGACTCACTGTTTCATTATGGGTGTTTGCTTTTGTTTCCAACAGGTACTAGATGAGGGCTCCATGATGGTGGATAAGTTAGTTGTTGATCTCACTATCCGGGAAGGGCATTTATGGTAGCCTTTCCACGGTTGCTCAAATTCTTTTACACCAACATAATCGTTTTTTATTTGCTTTTCAGCTGTAACTTCTGCCCAACTCTACCCATTAACCCAGACTAAAACACCAGCATGCATTCTCTGCAGATATACCAACTGAATGGGCCAAGGCAATATGTCTCCATTAGATCATAGCAACCCTATTATAGCAGGCCTTGAAACATGTCAACATAACTTAAGCACAAGAAATATAAACTTAAGACAGCCTGTATGAAAATGGCAGAATTTCTTTTTAAGTTGGTGCTGGTTCAAAGTTCTAGATTCTGACACCAGGCAGTTTATTACAAGCATATTTAAACAGTACAATTTTGGAAAAATGCTTCCTGGTGTAATATAATCCCTGGTGCACATGGAGGCATACTTATATCTAAACTCAGCTCAAAGTACATGTGACCATGAAGATAGGTTCTGTAGTTTAAGGGCCTGGTATCTTGAGTGGTCTCTGACCTAGACAGCATGAAGGTCAGCAGGCTATAAAATACCTGACATCTCACCTAAGGATGGGTTTTAACGACTGGTAAACAAAGCTATCTGGGCAGTGGTGACACATGCCTTTATTTCTATGAAAGGCAAGGTAGATCTCTATGAGTTTGAGGCCAGCTGGTCTACACAGAGAAACTCTCTTAAAAAAAAAAAAAAAACAAACAAAAACAAAAAGCTGAAAGTCTGAGATAAACATTCTGGGGATTTGTGTCTGGCTCCTCACATAGCAAAGGTCATCAGGTCATTATAACACTATCCACTCACAGCCTTCTGAGTGGAAAATAGGTATTCATTCACTCCTTTGCAAACAACCCTGTGTGATTAACATTTCTGTTTTCCCCAGTGATCTGTAGACACAAGGACCTTCATGCTCCCAACAATAGATCATCTTTTGACAAATTCTTCAGCCAATATTTCAAGCAAGCTTTTAACACCTTTTAAAACTGTGCAAGTTTCCATATTAAACCTAGATTTCCACTCAGAGGGCCCATATCAATAAACACAGCCTGATTCAGTTTTGTGTTCCTTCCATCATTATACCACACCCTTAAAATCCATTCCAACACATATTCCCCAGACTGCTTGAATGAATTAGTAAACTCATTCTTTAGTAGTATAGTATACCTTTCTACCTCTCTAGGAGCCTGCTTAGCCTTTAAGACTGGTTTTAAGTGTAGAGGCAACTATTGGGAGCCCTGAGGGATATCAGTTTTTCTTGCTTAGAACTTCCTTTGGAGAACGGAAGTATTAATTTTAATTGAAAAGAGAGCCCAAATGGAACCCTCCCGATATAGACCTATTTCTAAAGTGGAAGCAAGGGCTTGACAAGAGAAACAGTGACTTCCACTTGGCTGGCTAAGTCTTAATGGCTGCCAGAGGACACGTGGCTATGTACTTTACTTGAGTCTGCACCTCAAAAAGAGGCAGACAAGGTTTAATTCAGGGTGATCAGACTCTGGGGTGGCCAGATCTCGGGAATATAGGATGCTGATACTGAGGATGGGGAATGGGGATATAGGCTAAGGCTGGGCAAGGAGCTTCCTGCTCAGATCAGGCTTCACTGTCTAGTATGGAAGCAGATATTCCTTTCATGGGGAATGGCTTTTATCAGGTACAGAAGATGTCCCACTGCCCTCAGACCCCTGGAAACCCTGAAGCCAATGCAGTGCCTCCATCTGCCTCCTCTTCTCCTTGGCCCATTTGATGGCTGTCCGGAAGAGATTGAAGAAGAGATGTAAAGCTTGGGGTGAGTCATCTTTTGCAGGGATAGGGTGAGTGATGAGGCAAGGGTTGCAGTTGGTGTCCATAACGCCCACTGTGGGGATGTTCATCTTGGCAGCATCCCTCACAGTCACGTGTGGTTCAAAGACATTGTTGAGCATGTGCAGGAAGAGGTTGAGGTCTGGCAAGCGAACTGTGGACCCAAAGAGGAGGTGTGCATTAGTCAGTAAACCACCCTTGAAGTAGTGGGTGTAAACATACGCTCTGCAGTCCCGGGCTGTATTCTCAATCAAGTGAGAGAACTGCAGGTTCCTGCTCACAAACAGGATGATGCCCTTGTGGTAGGCCACATGAGCGGTGAAGTTCAAGGCCAGCTGTAGATTCAAGGCTGTCTGCTCCAGGTCAATGATGTCTTTGTCCAGGCGATTACCAATGATGTAAGGCTCCATAAACCTATAAATGGCAGAGACTTTTAAAGAGGAAATAAATAAATCCCTTAAAGAAATCCAGGAAAACACAGTGGAAAGAAACAAATAAAGCTGTTCAAGAGCTGAAAAAGCAGAATAGATTGAACAAAGAAAATCCAAACTGAGAAAATTCTGGGACCTCTTTGGCTAGCAACTCATTTCAATATTATTCTGTCTTGGTACTTGGCAAGAGGTCAGCTGGGTCTCTGTCTACCTCATTATTTGAAGACTTCATTAGGATCACATTCATATATTTTAATCAAATGGAGAGGGTACTGAGAAATAGAGTAGAATGAGGGAATGTGAGGAAAGAAGCTAAATTGAGAGTATTTGAGGGACAGTAAGAATATATATATATATATATATATATGTATATATATAATTGTAATTTGTAATATTCCAAATCTTGTCGATTATTTTTGTTTTTTATATTTTTTATTTTTATTTTTTATATTTTTATTTATAATTTTGTCTTATTTTACATATTGATCCCCTTTCCATCTCTCTCCATCCCTCCCATGCCCCCCGAACTCCATTCTTTCCAATTCCCAAAGCACTCCACAGGGAGGGTGAGATCTTCCAGGAGGGATCATCAAGATCTGTCAAGTCATTTGGAGTAGGATCTAGGCCTTCCCTCCTGTGTCTAGGCTAATGGAGTATCGCTCCATGGGGAATGTGCCCTAAATGTCCTTTTGTCCTTTCGTGCACCAGGAATATATCCTGGTTTCACCATCAGAAATACTGCAGACTGCCCAGGCCTTCTAACTGAGACCCACGTTCAGGGGGTCTGAGTCGGCCCAATGGTGGATTCCCAGCTTTCAGACTGGGGGTCTATGAGGTATCATTTGTTCAGGTCACTTGTCTCTGTAGGTTTCTGTAGCTGGTCTTGACTCCTTTTCTCATCACTCCTCCCTATCTGCAACTGGATTCCAGGATATTGATTCAGTGTTTACCAGTGGGTGTCTGCTTCTGTTTTCAAAAGCTACTACATGAAGGGTCTAGGAATACAAGTTAGTTATCAATCTTATTATTAGGGAAGGGCATTTAAGGTAGGCTGTCCACTGTTGCTCAGATTGTTAGTTAGGGTCATCCTCATAGGTCTCTGGACATTTCTCTAGAGTCAGTTTTCTCTTCAAACCTATAATAGCTCCCACTATTATGGTATCTCTTTTCTTGCTTTAGTATATTTGTCTGCGAATCAATCTTCCTGGTTCCACATATTCTCCTCTCTTCCACGTCTTTCTCTTAATGCCCTCTCCACTCACTACCCCTCCCACTTCCAATATGCTCAGGAGGTCTTGTCCTTTTCCCCTTCTGTGGGGGACCTTGTATGAATCTCTTAGGTTCCTCATTGTAACCTAGTTTCTCTGGCAGTGTGAATTGTAGGCTAGTGATCTTTTGCTTTATGTCTAAAATCCATATATGAGTGACTATGTAGCAAGTATGGGTTTTTCCGCCTGCTGCTGCTGGTCTTGACCCGCCGCCATGCCACCAGCCCCAAATAACACACAGAGACTCTGTATTTGATACAATACTGTTGGCCCAGTTACTTGTTTCTTATCGGCTAGCTCTGCCTTTAATTATTAACCCATTTCTGCTGATCTATGTATTTCTCTTACCGGGGAGCCGGAGGCATACTGCTTTCTCCAGACTCTCCATCTTGACTCCTCCTTCCTACTTCCTATTTCCTCCTTGTCTCCTAGTCCCTCCTATCTTCCTCTCCTATTGGCCAACAGTGCTTTATTTATTAACCAGTATGAGAAACATATACAGAATGACATCTCCCATCATCTCCTCTTTTCTGTCTAAATAAAAAGAAGGGTTTTAACCTTAACATAGCAAAATATATCACATAACAGTTATCAAATAAGAATCACAGTTAACACTATTTAGTCCATTAACATTTAGCAAGATTTGAAGAAAATATTCCATCATCTATCCTATCTTTGTGTGTCTAAAGTAACTTATCTTTAATACTAAGGAAAACTATAACTATAACTGTCTTCAAGTCCTGCAAAGACCACAGAAGGATAGTCTATAAACTCTAGAAATGACAGAGACATCTTGCCTTTTCAGTCACCTGAAGTTCTTTTGTAATCTTCCATCTTCAGCCCATAGGCCATAGTGTGTCTGGCAGACTCTTCAGCAAAGCAGGAAACTTTAAACTGTCTTCTTGTATTGGCAGTTTGTCAGTCACTTTTCTCTGTGTCCTGCAGACTGTCTCACAGACTCTTCCATGAAGCAGGATCTCTGTAGCAATGTCCATCTTGAATCAGCAGTCACTTTTCATTGGGTCCTGCATGTCCAGTTTCTACAGCATAAAGTCAAACAGTCCAGACAAGAGCAGTATCTTGTCCAAATGGCTAGTCTTGCCATATTGGATGTAAACTCCATAATGAGTTTCTTCAATGTCCATCTTCATCTTCCTTTCTGACGCAGGTGGTGTTGCCAGGAACAATTATGTCTCATTGTCAAGAAAAACCCTAAACCATTTTAAATGCCATATTCTGTAGGTCTTTGAAAGATTTGAAGAATATCTATCTATCTCAAATACATCTCTGCATATCTAGAAAACCTAACTCACCTAGCTATGTTTTGACTATTATAGGTAACTATCTAAAATCTGTACTAAATTATACATTACATTTTTAAATGAGCTATATAAACACAATACATAAACAAGAAGAGAAATATACATATACAACATTGACCTTAAATTGTATCAATAAATGAAAATCCATTCCAAAACAAAGTATTCATATCTATACCATAATTCCCTTTTTACCTTTAAAAAGAATTGGCTATGATCATTAACCATTTATAACCAAGTCCATTTAAATGAAAACAAACATTTATAAACAATATTTGGGAATTTGGGCGTCGTTCTTTCCAAACTACTTCCTGCTGATAGGGGCGCTGTCGTGGGGATCCTAAGAAGATGGCTGTAGTCTGCAGGGCTGCCTCGTTCAAGCTGTTTTGAATGTTGGATCACCAGGAATGCTGTTTCAGGGGGTCTGGCTTGAACAAACCACATTAGTCTGGAAGGAATCCACAGCTTTTTATTTCCTGTTGAAACAAAAATAGAAATCCTTTTCCCCAGTAACTTGTCCTTGAACTTAAGTTTTGGAGTCAAAGCATTTTTAAAATATATAAATTGAATTAATCCAGCAGCATTTCCTTTATCAGTTGTTATTTTCTCAGCAGTCAAACAATGTAGAGACAACACAATAGCATACAGTAACCAGATTCTCTCTGAGCTTTTCATCTTTACGTGCCTTTATTATTACTCTGTTTCTTTTACTTTTTATTTTTTTTCATTTTTAGAGACAGGGTTTCTCTGTGTAACTCTTATCGGTCCTGGAATTCACTCTGCATACCAGGTTTACTTTGCAAATCACAGAGATCTGCTTGCCTCTGTCTCCTGAGTGCTGGATTAAAGGCATGTGCTACAACACCCAGTTCCTCTTTGTCTCTTTAAAACCTTTTTTTCATGTCTACGTATATTTTAAAACACACTGTAAACCTTTAGAGGTTTTTCTTAATATGAATCTGTCTTTACTGTAAATCTTTATCTTGTCTGGCCACAAGTCTTTTATCTGGTAAACAACAACATTGCTAAAATGAAAGTCATAGCTGTGTCAGCTGCGGTTTACCAAAGATGGTGGCGTGTATTTTACCGCCAGCACGGAAAGCTGTGCTCACTGCCCTAGTCAACGCTGCCATCCAGCCGCATGCTGCCGGCTTGGAGATGTGGTCACTGCCATTGCCATCTCTCATACTCACCAATAAATTGTTAGCAGTGCTTTTTTAAAGCCATGCGGTTTTTTGCCGCTGATGCTGAGTCAGGAATCCTCCCTTTAAGGAGCCGCACGAGTATCTGCTTGTCTCTAGCAAGTCAGAGTCCAACCGAGAAAAATGCTGTTACCAAGAAACCTTGCTTATTTCTGTTCTTTTGTTTCTAAAACCCTTCTTTAAGCTTTTGTTAAATTTTAAGTGTAAGTTCTTATTAACCACGTTGGGCGCCATTTGTAAGGCATACAGGTTTTCCGACTGCCGCCGCTGGTCTTGACCCGCCGCCCTGCCGCCAGCCCCAAATAACACACAGAGACTCTGTATTCTCCTCTCTTCCACGTCTTTCTCTTAATGCCCTCTCCACTCACTACCCCTCCCACTTCCAATATGCTCAGGAGGTCTTGTCCTTTTCCCCTTCTGTGGGGGACCTTGTATGAATCTCTTAGGTTCCTCATTGTAACCTAGTTTCTCTGGCAGTGTGAATTGTAGGCTAGTGATCTTTTGCTTTATGTCTAAAATCCATATATGAGTGACTACATTCCATGTTTTTTTTTTTTTTTTTTTTTTTTTTTTTTTTGTGACTGTGTTGCCTCACTCAGGATGGTTTCTTTAAGTTCTATCCATGTGCCTGCAAATTTCAAGATTCCATTGTTTGTTTCTGCTGAGTAGTATTCCATTGTGTAAATGTAACACATCTTCTTTATCCATTTCTCAATTGAGGGGCATGTAGGTTGCTTCCAGATTCTTGCTATTTCAAATAATTCTGCTGTGAACATAGTTGAACTGTCTTTGTTGCATGGATGTGGATCTCTTGGGTATATGCCTAAAAGTGGAATTGCCAGGTCTTGTGGTAGACCGATTTCCATTTTCCTGAGGAAACACCATTCTGATCTCTGAAAGGGCTGTCCAACTTTGCATTCTCACCAGCAGTGGAGGAGTGTTCCCTTTCTCCACATCCTCCCCAACATAAGCTGTCATTGGTGTTTCTGATTTTAGCCATTCTGACAGGAGTAAGATGGTATCTCAGAGTTGTTTTGATTTGCTTTTTCCTGATAGCTATGGATGTTGAGTACTTTCTTAAGTGTCTTTTAGCCATTTTTGATCCTCCTTGAGAATTCTCTATTTCTGTTCTACACCCCACATTTTAATAGGATTATTTGGTGTTTTGGTGACTAGTTTTTTGAGTTCCTTGTATATTTTGGAGATCAGCCCTCTGTCAGATGTGGGATGGGTGATAATCTTTTCCCAGTCTGTGGGTTGCCATTTGGTCTTTTCAGTTTCATGTTAGCATTTGGTTTACTGTATATTGTTTTTATTATGTTTAGTTATGTTCCTGTTATCCCTGACCTCTCCAAGTCCTTTATCATGAAAGGGTGTTGGATTTTGTCAAAGGCTTTTTCATCATCTAGTGAGATGATCATATGTTT